TGGCCCGTTGGGGGAAGAGCCAGCCCCAGGAGGGCTTAGCGGGGCGGGTTCCAGGATCCTCAGGCCCCCACCAAGAATTGCCCCTCTGGCCACAGTGCTGAGGGAGGATTGCTGCCCTGGGGACTCACCCAGTCACTGTTCATAGACACCAGCATCCTGTCACTAGGCTCCATGCAGCCCAAGGAAGCCCACTGGTCCTCAGGGACCCTGCCCTTCACACACCCCAGTGTCAGCCTGGCCAATGTGGCCTTCACCCTACTCAACCTTATCCCCAGTCAACCTCACTCCCAGTTTCCCACAGCAGAGGCAAGACCAGCTGGAACACGGAATGAAATTTATTGAAGAGAAACACATACTGAAACCATTGAAGAGAAGGGAACCACAACACAGAGAGAAACTGCAAACAGCCACCACAGGCCACAGGTCCCAGGGCCCCTCCTCTTGGGTTTCTGGCAAGTCGCCTCATCTGCCTCCCCTCCCGCTGCGGCCCCCTCGGCCACCTCCCTCCTTCCCCAGGGCCCCAGGTCCACCTCTTGCCAGGACGGTGGACTCTGGCAGTGTCCACTGGCTTCAGGAAGCCCCCTCTCAAGCCCATCTGCTGGGGCAGGGCCCTGCCTTATGGCTTTCACAGGACAGCCACAGGACACTGGAAAACACAGCAGAGAACACACCACCAGGTCAAGGAAACTGAGTCACAAGTAACAACAGGGGTGGAACACCAAAGCACAAAGCTCCCTGGGGAGCCTCAGGCAGGGCAGCCCCACTCTGTCCTGGGTCCAGTTCTTCCCACAGTCACTGTCACCATCACGGTCACTGGGTAAGCATCCACCATGTCCTGATTCCTCTTTTCCTCCATCTCCCGGGATTGCGCTGGGGACCTCCGGGGAGAAGCTGCTCAGAGAAAAACACACACAGCTCCACAAGAACAAGTAGCCCCTGGCATAGATCTACACCGGGAAAGCAGAGATGGTGCTCACAACAAGGGACAGACAGCAGGGAGCACAGTGTGGGCTTGCAGGAAGGTCACAGCACGTGTCCTGGGCCCAGAGGCGGCCGCCCAGGTGGGCGCACAGCACACAACTTTGTGCAGGAACAATAGCTAGCAGTGGGTGGGCGTCTGTTGGGTGTGTGGATCACTATAGGGCCTATACAAGTAAGGGTGGGATTTCCAGAATAGGGGCTGACTGCCCAGGGCATGGTGAGTGGGGGTACCACTCTTGGGAGACCCAGGCAGCTGGCACCCTTGAGAGGGCCTGTTTCCTGCATCTCTCTTAACCCAGGACAAGGGGTGGAGGCAGACATCTTCAGGTGCCCCCACCCAGGCCACGGCTGGCCACTCAGGGATCCCTCCAGGCCAGCCCCCCATTTGGAATCAAATGTGGTCATCTGGGTCATGGTGAAGGACTGGGGGTGGTGGCCAGGGCCCCTTGCGGGAGGTGGGAGGCACTGCTCCTGATGTGGGGTGAGGAACTGGCCCTGGCCTGGCCTCCGTCTGCCTCCAGGGTGCTGCTGCCTGAGAGGAGAGGAGGCCCTGGGGCCCTCGGAGACTATTTGCCCAGGGAGGACTTGGGCTGGCCCGCCTCCCCAGCCCCATCCTCATCTTCGTTTTCAGACTCCTCCAAAATGGGCTTGAGCCCCTCCTGGGGAGGTTCCTCAGCCTTCTGTCCTCCTACCTGGACAAGGCCCTCTGGCTCCCAGCTGGGACCTCCTGGGGCCATGTCGACTGCACTGCCCATCTGGGCTGGGAGGCCACCAGGGACATTGATGGGCCCTGCCTGACCTAGGACTTTGAGGCCGGCAGGGGCATTTTCATCTTCCCCAGTGGCAGGGGTGCCCCTGGCGGCCTCTTTGGTGGCAGAAGGGGCCTTGGCATCATCTTCTCCGCTGGGATCAGCGTTGCTGGCATCCCCATGGGCTGGGGAGGCCTGGGCGACATCTCCTCGGGCAGGGGCCATCTGGGAGGCAGCTGGGTCTTCACTCTCCACTGGGGCCTCTGGCCAGGCTGCACCCTGCTGGCTCCTCGCTGGGGAGGCCGCCCACACTTCCATCTCCCGGATGAGCCGAAGCAGCCCCAGGAAGCCGGGCGGCCTCCTATCCAGCTGCAACCGCTTCAGGGTATCCTGGAGAGCCTCGCTGGGGCGGGCCCGAGACAGCACCTGCCGCAGTCGAAAATGGTTGGCCATGGCTGGGTGGAAGGCCCCCTTCTCCATGGCCTTCTGCAGCAGGCCTTCCAGGCGCACCACGAAGGCAAACAGCCCCTCCTGGGGCCCCTGCGTGCAGGTCAGGAACTTCAGCCGTGTGGTCACCCATGTGTCCCGGTTCCTAAAGGCGTGCCCCAGCGCCGCCAGGCAGTCCAGCGTGGAGAAGCTGGGCTCTTCCTCCAGGAGGCCATTCACGATCTCCAGGGCTGCCCCGCGCAAGCTGCTCAGCACCCGCCTCCTCCTCTCCCTTTCCGATGCGTCGCACCACAGCTGCAGCATGTCGTTGACATGCTCCAGCCAGCTCTCAAAGGAGTCTTCCATGCAGTCTGGCTGCACCATCCCGGAAAAGCGTCTCAGTTCCTGGCGGCCCACAGTTTTCAGCAGAGGCCACAGCGCCCTGTTACATGACTGGGTCCAGGTCTCGACCTCACCTGCGCCTCCTGCCTCACCTGCGCCTCCTGCCTCACCTGCGCCTCCTGCCTCACCTGCGCCTCCTGCCTCGTCTTCACCTCCTGCTTCGTCTTCACCTCCTGCTTCGTCTTCACTTCCTGCTTCGTCTTCACTTCCTGCCTCATCTGCACCTCCTGCCTCATCTTCACCTCCTGCCTCATCTTCATCTCCTGCCTCATCTTCATCTCCTGCCTCACCTGCACCTCTGGCCACTGCTTGACCCTGCAGCCGTGCAGGGAAACTGGCCATATCCTGAAACTCAGCACCAGGAGCCTGGGACAGGGAGATCACATTCCAGGGTCCCCCTTTGCCTGGTATTTGGCGGGGAATCAAGCTTCGGTTTAAACCCTCAGCGAACTCCACCAAGGCTGCCCTGGCCCCGAGCCCCCTTCTGAAGACCTTGGTGAGCACTCGGTACCTGCCCAGGGGCGACAGGGCAGCCCGAACAGCCTCCTGGAACTCATGTTCCTCGCAGTCATCAGGGAT